GGATCCTAATGACTGATTATAGCAATCGATTTGAAAATTTTTTGATCGATTATTCGGATGATTCAAATCATCCGTTTAATCATAATTGCGGATGATTCAGATTATCCAATTAAGTTCAAAAAACTGATTGATAATTTAATAAAGCTATATTTTTAATTGATGGGGATCGTAATTGCGGATCATCCGATTTTAAAACCTTAATTTAGATTAGAGTATAAAATTGGCGTAATGATTCATTATTTAAAGTTGTTCAATTTTCTAAAATTTTTATTTAGGTGGCTTATTCCCTCCTCATCGGTTTATTGAATGTTATATATTAAATGAATCGTTTTTATGCTCTTTTTCATATTTAATATTGTTTATTTTATGATACAAAAGAAACAATTTCATTTTTTTTTTATTACAATTATTTTTTGAATTCAATGTCGGGTTCTTATAATTCCTCTTCTTTAGAAGAGGCTAGCCAAACTTCTCGTTCTAGTATTCGTAGTGATGCTGAAACTAATAGCACTAATACCACTGATCAATCAAAAAAAAGACGTCGTGAAGGTCCTGGTGGTTCTAATAAAAAAAGCTTTATTTGGAAATATTTTGTTGAGAAAGATAATCCTAATGGACCTGGTACAATTACAGCTTGTACTCTTAACCTTCGAAATGGTCAACCATGTTCAACATCATATGCTTCTTTTGGTAGTACTAGTAATGCTATTACACATTTAGCTAACGTTCATGGTATTGTTGAACAAGGAAAACTTCATATTAAGGTGAAATGATGAAATATTTTATTATTATTATATGAGTTATTATACATAAAAAGTTTATTAATATTAAAATTTAATTTTATAAGTCTATTAAAAGCGGAAATATTGAAGAGATGTTAGCAGCACAAAACCAACGACGTTGGACGAACTCTTGTCAACATATTGCAGATCGAAAATTAACAAAATGGATTCTCCATTCTACTAAACCAATTGAAACTGTTAATGATAGCTTTTTGGAGGATTTTCTTTGTTACTTAAATCCGAACTATAAGTTACCAAATGAAAAAAACCTTAAACTCCTTATTCACCAATCTTATGATTGGACTGAATCAACCATGAGGGAACTTTTAATGTCTGAAGCAAAATATATATCTTTCACAACTGATCTTTGGACTTCCAGAGCTAAACAAGGATATATTGGTGTGACAGCTTCTTTTATGGATTCAGATTTTAAAATTTATGATATTCTTCTTGAGTTAAAATACTTACCATATCCACACAAAGCTGAGCATATCCGAGATGCACTTCAAACAGTTATGAGAACCTGGAATCTTCAAGAAAAATTGATTGCCATAACAACAGACAATGGTCCAAATATGGTAAAGGCTATGTCTTATTTTAATAATGTTACACGTATTCCATGTACAGCTCACACTCTTCAGTTGGCAATTGGAAAAGGTTTAGCTCCTGTTTTAATATTAATTGCTAGAGCTAAAAGGCTAATTAGATTCTTTATGTATCCTAAACAAATGGAGCGTCTAAAAGCAGTTCAAATTACTCTGAATTATGATGAAGTTTTAGGTACAATTGGTGATATAAATACTCGTTGGAATTCCTCATATATTGCTTGGGAACGACTTCTTTATCTAAGAGATGCAATTGATCAATTAGCAATTGAATTAACCCGTGATCTAGATAATATAATAAGAAAGGATGGAAAGCATCTAAAAAGTATAAATCTTTCAGATGATGAATGGATTTTTATGGAAAGTCTAGTTAATTTGCTTGCTTTATTTGAAGAGGCAACAACTTTTTTAAGTGGTAGTAATTATGCAACACTTAGCTTAATGTGTCCTACGATTTTTGAATTAAAAAAAGTATTTAATAATCAATCTTCATTAGAAGTTGTTGATTTTACTAATGAAGTAACAATTTTGGATGATGATGAAGAATTTGAACAGCTAGAAAACAATGATAATGATGAAGTGATAGATCCTACAACTAAACAACGTATTAAAATATCTCAACCAATGCCTACAAATGGAAAGATTGAACAAATCAAAGATATTATATCACAAGCATTAAATAAATATTGGTCAATTCAATCAGATATTGCATTAAAGGCTGCATTTTTAGATCCTCGATTTAAGCATCTATCTTTTGCTCGAGATGAAAAGGAACGAGTTATTCAATTACTTAAGGATGAACTTCAAGAAAATCGATTAAATGATTTACCATTAGATGATTTACAACCTTCACCTTTTGATGATAGCAGAAATATTAATAATATGAATAAGGATCAAGAAAATGAATTAGATATGTGAAGGTCTCGACAAACACGAACAAAAAGAACTTTATTTAGTCGTATATTCTCAAATACATCAATTAATGATAATATTGAAGATGAATTAAGCAATTATAATAATATGCGTTGTGCTGATTCTAAAATTGATCCTTGTGAATGGTGGAGAGAACGCAAATCTTTATTTCCAACTTTATCTGATTTAGTACGAAAATATCTTCATATTCCTGGAACATCTGTTCCAAGTGAACGCCTCTTCTCAGATACTGGAAACCATATTACAATTCGACGTACACGGCTAGATCCTAACCTTTTACATCGTATGGTTTTTTTGAAACGAAATATGAATGCTGTTGAAATTTTTCCACCAGAAGAATAAAAATTATATTAGTAAAGGTAAATCCTTTTAGTAATAGCAAAACAAAATTTAATTTTACTTATCTTAAATTAGTCCAGTAGGTTTAATCGGGTTTATGATTTTATTTTGTTTTTTTATATGGGATTTTATGTGAGATTAATAAAAAAAAAATGATTTTTCTAATAGTAAAAACTTCGTGACTCATTATCCTATGTTACATAAGCTTAGTAAGCATATGATGCAAGCTTTTATCTAAGTATATCACAACCTGATCGGTTCAGAACACTATACAAATTTCTCACAAAAAATATATAAACTGGGATGTAGTATTTTCGTGTTTCTTTTAATCCTCTTCTTATCAGACTCTTCTTCCGCACATGCCTAAATAAAAGTATTGTATTTGAATATTTTTGAGTAAATGCCAAGACTTTGATCGTGACCATTCATCCATATTGGTCACCAAGAAATATGAATCTTTACTCCGCTAGTTTGAAGTAAATTGAATAGAATAATGCATCAACTAATAAACTTACATCTTTTTATTATGAAATAATGTGATATTGGTATCGGCAAGTATGAAATTTTCAATGATGCGACCCTTGATCAACTTGGGAATTATTTTCCATTTAATATTTCGTTTTTGTCACAAATACTGAGAAAGAACTCATTTATTTTTATTAATCTCCTTAGTAAAGTCTGCTTCACAATTATCTTATTTTAAACCAACTCGAGCTTATCTTAAAAAAAGTTCAGCTATCACTTTTTCATTTGCTAATAATATCCAAGTCATCCTTATCAAGTCCAAAGTCTTTATTTCTCAAAACTCTGGGATTAAACCAGCTATTAGTTTACAGTTCTTAAATGAAAATGTTTAGCCTCACCCGAAAGTAAACCCACCTTAATTGCATCATCCAGAAGTTGTTTCCATAATGCGTTATGCAGTCTTTAATTGACTCAGTTACGTTTATTCGAAATAAAAGTAGAATGGAAATAAAAAAAAACTCAAATACTTAGCCTAATTGCGTCATTCAGTTGTTGTTTTCATAATGCGCTATGCAGTCTGTAGATGCAGGTAATCAAATAATATTTCTGATTCTGGAATAGTTTATGGTTATACAAGTTATTTTACTGATACGATACGATAAAGTTAGTAAAGTAGGATAATTTGGATCATCCGATTAATCGCATCCAAATTTTTGATTATTC